AGCCCGCGAAGGGTATCGGAATTTGGTGCCTAACCATAGACGAACCCATCAAGCTTAGCGCGAAAATGCATGATCGCACCGGTAAGCGATGGTGTATTGTCACCTGGCTTTTACTAAAGGATGGCCCGCGAGCTTAAGTAAGTATGTAAATCAGGCTGGCATGTCGCCAAACGTTGCCCATGCCTGCTTTAAAAAGTCATTGGCCTTCTCGTACTTACTTGAATAGTAGAGTAGGAGGATTGGACTTAGGTGTCATGTGCAGAAAGACATTTTACGATGCAGTCTGTGTTTCATCCCTTATCTGTAAACCCAGACCGGACTATGCATGCGGTTAGGAGTGGGAATCATCAGTACAGCCTCCTACCCACCATGTATTGAAAGAACATTTAACTATTTTGCAAGACGGGGAAGTGAAAGAAAAAGAGAGAGAGAGGAAAGTGCAAGAGCATGAAAGTAATAAGAGTGTTGAGGAAACTAACATATGATATGGGTATTAATTCTGTGTAGTTATGAGGAGGCAATTTTCATGAGAATAACGTACTAACTAGGTGTTTAATTTCTGCATCTTCGGGGTAGATGAATTTGCTGAGTACTGGTCGGTTCCTGAAGCAAAATCTTAAAACGGAGCTTTCTAGTTTGGCAGTATCAAACCTTTTTTGTCTATGGATATTTACAAAGCGTCTAGCCCAGTCAAGAAACCCCTCTGGGAGGGTGGAAATGCCTGCGTATCGAAGTAACTGTGATATAATAGCACCTTCTTGTGCCGTATGGTCAGCTGTATGAATACTTGAGCAGCAGCTGTATGTGTCATCGACGTCCGTTGTAACTCACCATCGATGCAGCACTGGCAAATTCTCCATTCGATTCGTTGTTGCACTGTCCGAGTCCAAGCTATACCATACAGTCGTACCCTGGGCCTCACCATCTCACTGGTGGCCTTCTCGTAATCACATTTTAAAACAGGCTCATTTTTTGGATTCAGTATTCATTAGTGGGTTGTTTAAATGTCTTTAAAACTTGGACAGTAGGTGATATAGGGTCCCTAAAATATGCCCTTGTGATTGTGTAAATGATACAGAAGCCCTATCAGATAAGTAATATGCTGAATACCGTTACGGTCAATAGGAAAAAATCTTATTAAGGGGGCATGCTGCTGACTTTTAGGAATATAAAGTGCTCATTTTGGGTCGTTCGGTCACTAAGTGGTACTGAAAGCCTC